CAGTCTCTGCAGTCAGGAGTCTTCCCTGAAGCTCTCAAGTCTTCTTTGATTATACCAACTCTTAAGAAACCTAGCCTTGATCCTGATTGTCTTCGAAACTATCGGCCTATCTCAAATCTTCCCTACCTCGGCAAGATCATCGAACGAGTTGCATGTCAGCAACTTATGACATATCTGAGGGACAACGCTCTGCTTGCTTCAAGACAGTCAGCTTACAGACCATCATTTAGTGTTGAAACAGCTCTGACCAGAGTGCAAGATGACCTATTGAAAATCCTTGATGACGGCAATGAAGCAATGCTGGTTCTCCTTGATCTTAGCTCAGCCTTTGACACTGTTGATCACAGCATCTTGCTGAAGAGGCTTTCAGCCTCCTTTGGCATCACCGGTGCTGTAAAAACATGGCTTGCCTCTTACCTGGAGGGAAGGGAGCAACGAGTACTCATCGACGGTAAGACGTCCAGCTCTGAAGTGATTAGATGGGGAGTACCACAGGGGTCAGTGATAGGCCCACTGTTATTCATCTGTTATACAACTCTTCTTCAGAGTATTGCAGAGCACCACAACGTTGAGTGCATGATGTATGCTGACGACCTGCAGTTGTACACAGCTATGACTCCTGCTACGAGACACGAGTCAAAAGAAAGACTAGAGTTATGTATCACGGAGATTCGCAATTGGATGAAGGATAACAAGCTTGTTATCAATGATGGCAAAACTGAAATGCTTCATCTAACATCATCCAGGAAGCGTGGCTCAAATCAGGAACTGTCTCCACTCACGGTTGGTGACACCAGCATTTCTAGCAGCACAACTGTTCGAGACCTTGGAGTTGTGCTCGATAATCACTTAACTCTACGTCAAAATGTGAACTCCATCTGTCGGAATGCATCCCTATCTCTCTACAAAATCGGAAAGATAAGAAATCTCCTCGACAATCACACAACTGAGATCCTTGTCCACTCATTCGTCACCTCTCTTCTCGATTCTTGTAATTGTCTCCTCATCAATCTCCCCAATAAAGACATCGCCAAGCTTCAGCGAATTCAAAATTCAGCTGCCAGACTAGTTTCTAAATTACCAAGGCAAGAGCACATCACTCCCACTCTACAGGAACTCCATTGGCTGCCCGTATCCCAGAGAATCCAGTACAAAGTCATCATTCTAACTTTCAAAGCACTTCATCAACTCTGTCCCAGCTACATATCTGAACTTGTTACACCTTACATACCCACTCGATCCCTCCGCTCTGCATCTCAACACCTCATTGAACCCACGAAAGACAGGACCAAGTCATACGGATCCAGAAGATTCTCATCTGCAGCTTCGCATCTCTGGAACTCTCTCCCCACTACTTTCCGAACCATCACAGACTTAACTTTCTTTCAATCTCAACTGAAAACCTACCTGTTTAAAAACGCTTTCTAATATCATTTAAACTGTATTATTGTATTCATCAAAATTTAATTACATTACTGTACTCTGATATAATTGCCTTCATTTCTCTGTAATGGATGTTTATAATGTTTGATTATTATTAATCTTTTCCTTATTTTGATATTTCTTTAGTTCATGAATTAGTAGTTATGTGTAATTTTGTTGTATTAATATTGTAAAGCGCATTGCTATTTTCTTCGATTATGAAATGCGCTATATAAGTCTAGGTTATTATTATTATTATTATTATATATATATATATATATATATAAAATGGTCTGACTCTTCAGATTGAAAACAATAACAAAAAACAAAAAATCAAGAAATGAAAGTAAATCAGCATCAATATCATACTGCAGTTAGGTTTCCTTGTGCATTGCATTCCAAGGCTATATCAGCATATAGCTTGGCAATAACAAATATGAATTTAACTTTGATGTTTACGTTTGGTTTCCAAACTACATTAGTATTGGCATTTAACTAAATTCCAAGAGGGGGACATTCTAGGCACAGGCAAAAACACATACATATATTCGTACAAATGGGACTGAGCACAGAAACAGCATTACACATAATACATACAGTGCAGAATAATGTGCACGGGGGAGCGTCAGAATTGGAACACAGACTTGCAGACGACAATATCTTATTTCTTTCTCCGTCTCTTTCTCCATTTTAATTTTCTTTTCACTTTTTCCCTTCCACACTACCACAAATCAATCAAGACCACATTGGGACTACATCTCTAGAGTTTGATTCCTGTCGAAAAAAACTTGCCAAGATATTTGATTTGGCCTGAAAACAAATTGGGAGAAGTCACATTTGACAGAACATAATTTACTGTCATTCTGCTTGCTAGACAACGATTGATTTTAAAATAATTGAGACCGAAAGTTGTCAATCGTTTTAAATCACACTTTTAAATTCTGGAGGGAAAAAAAGTAGATTTCAAATGATGTAATACCAAAAGCTGTAAATTTGACATGAGTTGTGTTATCGTTCTTCTCCCTAATTAAGACGGAGTCTTGTCTACTGTCTAAATCCCAATCTGGTATTTTGATAAAAAACAAACAAACAGAATACTTGATACTTATAATGAAGCTGGGAACGTATCTCTTAATTTGATGCATTTTAACCACACAACGTAAGCACGTCTTCAGCAGGTTTTTGTCATATGTTTTTTTACTTCGTCCTTACACCATGCAACTTGATATAAACATACATGTATACAAAAATCCCAGTACTCTGTGCTTTATTTCAACTAAATATTTTAATGAGAAATAAATTCAACATCTTTAGTTGCTTAGCTTACATCTATATTATTATTGTTTTTTAGTGTCCATTTGGATCCACAAAGGTATTTCATCATTTACTTTAAGACAAGTTAATGCCCTTCGGGCACAAAACAGATTATACTACATAATCTAATAATCTTGTACCTGCTATAGCAAATAATTTGTATTTCCCAGTTTCACTTAAAGCAAGGCCCTCAGGATATTACATTTTTGCCAAAACTTTGTCGGGAAGTTTTATTTGTCACCTACAAATGCATGAACTCACATCCAACGTGAATCATCACAACCACAAAAGTAATTAACAGTGATCTTAAACAACCAATCAAACCCCTGCTCTGTATGAAACATGACAGACTAAGAAAGCATATAAGTATAGGCAATCATCTTTAAAAGGGAGGAAAGGGTGAGAGAGTTCATACAAACCTTAACCCATTCACAACTGACTTCTCTCATTGCCATTGTCTTTTAACACTTTGGTTGTTTTCTTCGCCTGTCTGCACAGACATCCGTAAGTCGGGGAGGAACTAATTGACGGAAGGATTGCTTTGTGCAACACATCTACTTTGTAAAATCATGTCTGGTCCTGATGAGCTCCATGACAACTCTTTTAGCACTAGTAAAGATTATTATTGCACTGAAAACATTTAACTAATAATCTTAATCATAATTAATAGTCTCAAGCATTAATTCTAAGTGCTCTCAATTTGTTAAATATTGTTTTGCTATTTTTTTGTTTTGTTGTATTAATCAGATATTGTATGTAAATTGTTATATGTTTTTATGAGAAGTGGAAATAAATTGAATTAAATGAAATAAAATCTTGAAGCCTTTGGTTTATCTATCCCATGATGAATATGGTACCGAGAGATTTTTTGTTTGCCACAAAAAGGGAAAATAGAGGAGACATCCAGATACTGTAGGCAATGGGTTTAACAACATCTGTAGATGGGTTTTACCTATAGAGTTTTCTTTGATGCATTATAAATGACAAACCCTGCTTGCTTTGAGTACATGTACCTTGTACCTGCATGCTGGGATATGGCTTTTATCTTTGGCATCCTTAATTTGATTTTGTTCCTAATTGAAGAGATGAAGGAGTATCTAGAAGATTAATTGAGTAGCAATTTCTTCCCATCTTGACCTTATACCAGCGTGGGTAGGCTTGGTTCCAAGGGTCACATGCAATGAATGTAACTTGCTCTTTGTCTCTTTAATTTTAATCAAATTCCTTTGTTTTAAAAGTGTATGGCTCATTCTCTCTTTATGTGATTAAGTCTCTCTCTCTCTCTCTCTCTCTCTCTCTCACACACACACTCACACACACACACTCTCTCTCTCTCTCTCTATCTCACTCACTCACTCACATATACCCTCTCTCACTCTCTCTCTCTCACTTACTCACCCAAACACTCCCACTCACTCACTCACACACATTCTTTATCTTCCTCTCTCTCTCTCTCTCTCTCTCACTCTCTCTCTCTCTCTCTTCATTTCTCTCACTCTCTTTATTTCTCTATCTCTAAGATATCACATGCCATACATTTATATAATTGCTTGTGTCCTCATGGTATTTCATTTTTTCAAGTAGTGTACTATGAACAGCCTCTATGTATACCTGTCTCTCCCCCCCCCCTCGCTATCTATTATTGTTTCTTCTAACAGCATTTCTTTTTTGCAGTTGTTTAGGACGTCATACCTGAACACAATTTTTATAGTAATAATGACATCAACATGACAAAATATTGTTGATTTTGATGGACGACAGAACTGGATAAGAATAATACACTATACTCATATGTATCAAATCATTACACATGAATGATTGAGTATGGGTCAATTCATCCACACCCCTAGTGTCGTCAGTGTTGGATATTCTCACCAGGGTTTGGCACCTTTTGCGTTGGTGCTGAAGAAATGTATTTCACTTGTCAACACTTGACGCATCAATGCCGTCCATCGCTACTGTCATTGTGAAATTATTACTCCATGCCAGTGTTATCGCAATTCAGACTGCAATATTTTCTACTAGATGTATTTCAGTAATGTATATAATGAGTCAAGTACTAAAAAAAACCTGATATAAGCACCCATATAAGGAAAGCTCTTTTTTGTTATTAAAGAATTGGACAGATGTTCCTTCTTCATACTTGTAACTTTTATGAATCTTTTAAAAGTATGCAACTCTGTATTCCTGAGGAATACATTTCCAATTTTAAAGGTTGAATAGAAATACTGCATGAAAAAAATTGGTTACTGGAGGAAACATACCTGTGCTAATCTGTCAAATCTAGCAAAGAGTTCGTTGAGGAGTTTGACGAGCTCTTGAGCTGTACAGGTTGAGGATAGCTTTGTGAAGCCTTCAATGTCCGCAAACAGTATACTGAAATGGAGAAGAAAACATAAACTCAGTCACCATATCTTACTAAAGGGCACAAAATGATCTGTATGTCTTAGAACTGTGTATAAGTTAATATACATGAGTGTACAACGGTAAGCTTTGACAGGGAAATGATCAGGTAAATGACAGACATTTATTTTGTTTCTCTCTCCGAATCTAAATTTCATGAGGGTACTATCTCTTTCTCTTTTTTCTTCCACGCCATCTCTCTCTCTCTCTCTCTCTCTCTCTCTCTTTCTCCTTTGTATACTCTCTCTCCCCTTCTCTCCTTTTCTCTCCCCCTCTCTCCCACCCTCTTTCTCGCCAAACCTCAACGTCCATAATTTTCTCTGCCTCTCTTTCAACCAGTCACATTCTAATTCTCCATATCTCGATATCTATCCATATGTACCTCTGCTTTTTCAACCCATCTTCTTTCTATTCATATTCCGCTTTGCTCCTATATCCAACATCAGCCATGCTAAAAAACTCACCTTTTTCTTCTTCTCTCTCTCTCTCTCTCTCTCTCTCTCTCTCTCTCTCTTTCTTTCTTTCTTTCTCTCTCTCTCTCTTTCTCTCTCTCTCTCTCTCTCAACCACAACTTCCATCTCTCACAAGCTATCTCTACCTCTTTCCCGCTACCACTGTCTCCCTTATCTCCATCTCTTTCTTCCTCTACCCATTTCAATCCCTCTTCCTTCTCTTAATATTATATTTTGCCCCAATACACCTTCAGCTATGCAAGAAACTTGCTTATAACTCAATTACATCAGAATCAATTACATGTACATGTAAATTATATTCAACCAAGCTCCCAGGTTATGATATGCAACCAGTGATATATACGCCATTGCCATTCATGCAAAACCATAATGTAGAGACTGTGTCTTACAAAACTGAGTAATACGTGATAGTGAATTCTAAATTTTACGAAGTGGAGTTGAGGAAAAAATTATGAGTGCAGGAAAAGGTTAACCAAGTCTATTTGATACCTCAATACATCATCTTTTCTTCCTTTACAAGAATACAATTTGCTGCTAGTTATAATTCATGCTGTAATTTGTCAATGGTAAAACAAGCCGGCGTGGAAAAAGAATACTATCAAAGTTTGAATTTTAAAAAGCTGAAAGAAATCCACATCGAAGGGAAGTTGCAGCGTGTGATTGATTTTGATAGCACGTGTACACACAGCTGGACAAACTGAAATACAATCCAAGCACTGTCTTTCATTGACAAGTTAGTGCGTGATTAAACATGATGTTTTTAGACAATTACGTGTATATATAGAATGAAGGAGAACTGAATGCTCCATTTGACAATTAGTTCTGTCTTCACCTTCATTAGGAAACAAATACCTACTGACTGTGAAGAAAGAAGTAAGTTTTTAGTCAGATGAACCTCTTCAGTTATTTAATAACACTCTACTTGTATATGTAGCTTGAGCTCGCACGTGTTTTTGTTTGTGGAACATATAACATGAAAAAGAGGAAAAATCGCTGTTTAAAGATCTAATCAACAGTCTTTTCACACACAGCTAAAACTCATCGTATCTAGAGAGGATTAGTATAAACATGTTTAACTCAACAGTTTTAAACACCTTTAAAGAAAATTTTCCGTGTGTAAACATCGTTTATACGATGTTCGGATAGATAAGAAGTCGCGAAACATACGCCCCTCAAAGCAGGCTGCAGATACGAAGTTCGTATCTAGAGAGCTTGACATTTTGTGTGTGAACGGTTTAAACGTGTTTAAACTGGATGGAGCGTGTGCTTTGTTTGATATGACCTGACCTTCAATGCGCAATGGCACTACTGCACATTTTAAGAGCAGTAGTTAATCACGAAAGGATTAACGATCGCACCGCAATTTCTGGGTGCAAATGATGTCTTATGTACAGCTGATTAGTTTAAAGCCCTTTAAACTAATCGTGTTTATAGAATTTTAGCTGTGTGTGAAAAGGCTGGTAGTCTAGGCTTGATGAATAGGGAAAAACCTTGCATGATCAAATTATCTCTTCATTATATGGCCCCATTCTGGGAAATGAAACAAACAAAACAAAACAGGTTCATCAAAACAGCATTGTTCAATCAAAATTGATGGCAAACATAAACTGATTACTCCAATCAACGGGCTCTAGTGCTCTCCCTAAACATGTTTTGATTAATTAACCCAATAACCAACTCTCCAGCAGAACATAAATGTCATGTCATTACTGATAAATATCACCGTTAATTTACCCTAGATTATCCCCCTTTGTACTTGCGCAATAATCTACGTCCCTTGCGAGAGTAGCTTCCAAATGAATCAATCCCGATTCAAAGCACTTGTTGGGTCGGCGCACCCAGCTCTTCAATATTTCAACTCATCAGCAGCGCGGAAAAAAAATATGTTGATATTGGCTTGGAGCTGGCCCCGGACTCAACATGTCGTATTCTACAGAGGACAGGGTGTAATGGCATACCTCTAAGCGCCAATAAACGCCGTCCTGTATCAATAAAATGGATAATCTTCCGCAACGGGCCCGAGGGAACGAGTGATGATTGGCAGTTCTGGGGGACGTGGGATAGTTAAACGAGGAGTATATATATATTCATTGCTTTGGTGGGAGTGTGAAGTACTTTTGAAGATCAAGGCATCGCCGTGTGGTGATCGGTATCTTCAATACTGTGACATTTATGAAATTAATCATATTCTGAAGAATTATGGTCACTTGAGTGATAGGTTTCCTCTAAAAAAAGTTTGTTGACACAGTTTGTGACGTGAAGATTATCTAACAAAATCTGTTTCACGTATAATAACATAACTATAATTTCAATATCATGTAAAGTAACAATCTTTTTGTTTCCCATTTACAACAGAGCCTCTCAGGGTAAAAAAACTGATCAATGAATTTTTTAAATGATCAAAAAGTTATCCTGATGGCATTCATTAAAATTTTATCAAAATATCACAAACAATGGAGGGATTCAAATTGATCTTGGTCCATCAATTCAGGGCTCTCAATTTGTCACCACTTTCCCAAAACATTGTATGCATACAAGTTTAACACCTCGCTGGTTTGCCACACATACATTTTTGCACACAAATTAGGTTCCATCTGGGGGCAGGATTGCTTTGTGCAACACAATGGCTTTGCAAAATTACTCAGTTCCTGCCCTGATGAGTCTCATCAAAACCCTTCTATCAACTGCATAGATTAATCTGTAACTGGAAACAGTTCAATAATCTTGAAGCCTTCAGTATACCTATGGCATGATAAACACAACATAGCACAGGGCGATTGGGGGGGGGGCATATAAAGAGTTAATGGAAATATAAAATATCCCTTTCACAGGGTTAGTGTATTGACAATGTATTGATGTAGATTGTCAATAAATAGATTTTTTAAATCATTCCTTTAACAAATGAAGAGTTTCATTCCAAAAGGAGCTAAATCCACTTTGGGTACTTCTGAGTAAATCGCCTTTTTTTATTTCTCCACTTTCCCTTCAGCCATGTACCTTCATGCTGTTATATATGTTAAAGGTGTCAACCTGGACTACTAATATATGATTTTAAAAAATCTAGAAGTTATTTCTGATTTTTTATTAATTTTTAGATTTTCATTTTTCGTAGATTTAGCTCCTTTTGGAATGAAACATGATATTGTACTTAAAATTTGTAAAATTTTATAATATTTTCTCAATAAAGTGACTGAAATTTATTTTAATTTAGTAGCAAACCTTTCCTTTTAAATAATTACAGTGAATTCACATCTAAAAATACCTTTTGAAAAGAAAGTAAACAACATTTTACAGTTTCATTCCAAAAGGAGCTAAATCCGTTTCATTCCAAAAGGAGCTAAATCCATGTTTCATTCCAAAAGGAGCTAAATCCACAAATTTCAATAATTTAGAAAAAAAATCAGAAATAACTGGTACATTATTTCTTATTATATATTATTGGTCCAGGGCGACACCTTTAACATAAATAGCAACATGAAGGTACATGGCTGAAGGGAAAGTGGAGAAACAAACAAGGTGATTTACTCACAAGTGGATTTAGCTCCTTTTGGAATGAAACCAATTTGGATTTAGCTCCTTTTGGAATGAAACATGATATTGTAACTAAAAATTTTCATCCTTCCTGGTAAAATTTTAGAATGTGATATAGTGCATTTTGTCCCCATGTAGGACACCATTATTTTAAGACAAAAAACTCAGTTTTGATAAAATATGGATTTAGCTCCTTTTGGAATCAAGCTCTTCAAATATAGTCAATATTTCATTTTCATTGTCCAATGTTTTGGGGTCAGGGGCAAACTTGTGCTTCTCTAACACACAGGCTCTTAAGATTGAAGTTGATAATTAGTTGGCAGTCTCAATGGCTGGGAGGGTAAAAACAAACTCAATCTTGGGGACCCTCTAGCATCTCGTCCGTGTATCACCTATGATGGCATCCAGTAAGTCTAATGACTTATACCGGACACTAGGCTTTTTGAAGGAGGGACAGGGGCACAATTTACCCCTCCTGAAAGACTTTCCACCAAGAAAAAGAGAAAGGAAGCTTGTAAGCCTCTTTTGTAGTGGTAAGGTAAAGAATCACTGTAGAGTCAAGAAATACAAAAAGGGTCTCTAGAGATTAATGTTTCTTCCCCCTCCCCCCCCCCCCCACTCATCATGATATGCTGCATAACTCTTTGAAGGTTAACAGCTAAAGAAAAAAAGAGAAGAAAATGTGACCAGTCACAGCAGTGTGACTTTTGCTTAGGAGATCTTTCCTCACTCTTTCAGAGGTACAAAAGTAGGGACAGATTTGTTGATGTTTATCTGAAATTAAATTGAATTTATTTTTTAAACATTGCTGCTCAAGAGCTGAATTACATGGAATATACATACATCATACAGAAATAAAGAGAAAGATGCAATGTGATGTACAATTTGATTTACATTCATATTTACAACTAGATGGAATTCGACTGCGCGCAGTCGAAAATGATGCCTCCGTTATAGAGCAATTTTACA